AAATTCGTACTGCATGTAAGAATTGGTTAGGGGTGCAAGAAATTACTCAATATATTAAGTATCTCAGCTTGTCAGCGGTCATAGGGAGAAGTAAAAGTAGCTTTTTCAAGCAATCTATGATAGAGTCTCTCACAAACTGAAGGGTTGGAAAGAAAAGCCTCTTTCTCATGCAAGTAAGGAGATATTGGTCAAGTTAGTGGCCCAAGCAATACCCAATTACACAATGAGTTGCTTTTGTTTTCAAAGGAGGTATGCTGTAAAATTGAGTCCTCTTTGGCTAATTTCTGGTGGGCTCAGAAGGAGAATGAACGGAAGATTCATTGGAGTGCTTAGGAAAAACTTTGTTTTGCAAAATCTAACGGCGGAAATGGATTTTGGGATACTCATTCTTTCAACCTTGCACTTTTAGCAAAACAACGCTGGAGATTAATCAAGTATCCAGAGTCTATGGTAGCAAGACTGTTGCGGGCATGGTACTATCTGCGATCATCATTCATAAAGGCTCGGTCAGGTTTTGAGACCGATTTTATGTGGAGTAGTCTATTTAAGGCTAGAGGGTACTTAAGCAAGGATGTCGACGGCAAATGGGGGATGTTCTCAAATTCATATTTGGCAAGATTGCTGGTATCCTGATTATGGCAAGAGTAAAATAGAATCTCCTGTTTCGATTTTAGATAAGGCAGCCACTATTAACAGTTTACTTAATGGTGACTCTTTACAATGGAACTCTGCGTTAATCTCTATTATATCTCACTAGTAGAAGCTGCAAAAATTCTTTCCTTATTGTTGAGTGTGAGTTGACCTTAGGATGTTTTGATTTGGGGTTATACAAAGAATGGACGGTACCCAGTCAAAAGTGGTTACCATCTTTCTTTTATAAGCCACCAAGCAATTTCTCATGGGTTTTCTTTTTCTACCACTGATCATGGACTATGGAAAAAGCTATGGAGGATGGATATCCCTCCTAAAGTCAAACATTTCATCTTCCGTGCATGCAAGGACCAGCTCCCGACTCTTGATGCTTTATTGAGAAGAGGTATAGAGCTTGATCCCATTTGTTCTTTGTGCAGTGATGGTGTTGAATGTGTTATGCATGTTTTGACGAATTACACAATAACAAGAAATGTTTGCAAGTTCTGTTCTTTGCGTATTTGTGTTGAGGGGTATTTGCAAGATCATTTTATTAACCAGTTTCAACTTTTAACTCTGAATTATGAAAGCTAGCAGATTTATGTGTTTGTTATATTGCTTAGTCCCTGTGGAAAGCTTGTAATATTTTTCTTTTTCAAAAATGAAAGTTGATTATTGAGCAAATTGTTCACATGAGTACTTCTTTATTGTACGAGTTCCAACATGCTAATGTAAGGATGCCATGTCCAGCTAATGCTATGAGTGTAGTACGTTGCAATCCACTTGAGTATGGGCAATTCAAGTTGAACGTTGATGCATCTATTTTAAAGGGACAGGGTTGTGCCTTTTTGGGGAATGTTTAGCAACAAATTGTCGATGCCTCCCTCTGATTTTAGTAGCAGACTAGGCAGAGATTGAAGCAGTGCATTTTGGTGTTCACAGTGCCATGTCGATGGGCTTTTCCTCCTTTATATTGGAGTCGAATGCACTTCAACTAGTCCAGCTTTTGTCTTTTGATGATTTCCCAGAGTCTGAATATGGAATGCGCCTATTGTTGCTTTCTTCGTTACTTCAGTAGGTTGGCCATTGGCGATTGTCTCATACTCGTAGGCAAGGTAATGTAGTTGTTCATGCCCTTTCTAGATTAGTTTTTTCTTCTATAATACCATTATATAGGTAGAAGAAGTCCCTAACTCTATTTTATCTATTGTTCTTTCTGATGTTTCTTCTCAATATAGCAATTCTTTTTTCCCAAAAAAAAAAGTTGCACTTTCACTGCATAAAATTGTGAACGATACTTATTTTTAGCTTAACTTATAAAAATACCTCGAATTTTATGAGTTGTTGCAGTATGGCTCTAAAATGACATTTTTTCTCCTGGCATCTCAACTTTGAAATTTAGATATATTGTCACCCGAAATTCAAATTGTACCTAGAATTTACAGTACAATAATATAAAATTAGGACCTACTAACCAATTTGAGTTAGTTTAACCCAACTCTCTAAACGTATAGTTTTGAATCAGGGAATAAATCTCTAATTTATCTTTTTAGCTCCCATGATTTCCTTTTCTTTCTTCTTTCCTTGACAATGTCTTCTATTCTCCTTTATAATCTCTTCTCGTTTTTGCTAAGTTTATAAAGAAACTGAACCCAACATACAAAAATGTGAGAAGAGATAGACTAATTGGACTCCTTGAGAACTGGTTGAGGTTGCCTAAAACATTTGCCGCAGAAACCTAATGGCCAAAGAAGGAGAAAGAAGCTAAAATCTACACAGATGCTTGCTTATGGCACACCCAATTCTCCTTTTATTTCAAATCCTTGAAAAATGAAATATGAAGATCTTCTGTTTCATTATTCAGTATGGCTTTATAACTTTACTACTTTTTAAAAGTGAACATATATTATTATTTGATTTTAATGGAGTCATATGTATAATTGTATGTTGCTCATAAAAGTTTGTCTTATCTGTTAATTATCATGTTACGGGTACTAAGGGTGTATTGTATCTTCTGTTGGATCTATAGTTATTGTTTGCAATATGTTATCGAGAAACTTTGCGTATAAACCCATAGCGAAAATGAGAAGAGATTATGGAGGAGAGGAGAAGATATTGTCAAGAAAAGGAGATTGATGAAGGTGGGGAGAGAAGAAATCAGGGATTTATTTCCTAATTGAAATCGGTCAGTTTAGAAAGTTGGGTTAAGTTAACTAAGTTGGTTTGATGGGTCCCACTTTTATATTATTATATTGCAATTCCTAGACGTAAATTTAATTATGGGTCATAATATATCTAAGTTTCTAAGCTAGGATGCCAGAGGGACTAAGGTCATTTTAGAGTGATATTATAACAACTCACAAAGTTCTACACATTTTTGTAGGTTCAGTCCTTATTTTTCTCATGAATTGTATGCATGGATGTAAATATTTATTGAAATTGTGCAATATTCCTATTTAAAAATGCTAACATTCATTTGAACAATATATTTAACAAACTAAATGAATTCATAATTTAATTTAAAACATAAAAATAAACATTAAACATATATTTATAATGAAAATAAGTTAACAGAAACTAAAAAAAATACATTAAGTAAATTTATACGCAATGCATATAATAGTAAGTGAAACTAGTGCTTATCATTAGAAACATTTTTCACTTCCTTCGGGTTTTCAATGACGGTCTCTTTTACATATTGATTCCCAGACAACTTAACATTGATTGAGTCTTCAAAATACTCGCTAATCAAAGGATCATCATTGTCGGAAACGGCTCTGAACAACGATGAATCTCTCTCCTTCACTATTCTCACTTTTTTGGTATATATTGTAGTTGTCTTGACCCTAGAAAATATTTATAATTATCAATTGACATCAACGAAATGGATGAAAATAAAATCGAACAAGGAAACTCGATCTTGTGGGAGAGAAATTTCAAGTAGGGTTTTAGAAATGGTACTTTCTAAGATAATATGGGTACATAATAAAGCAAGAGCGTGAAAAAAAATTGGAGAATATTTAAATTTTTCATTGTCTCCTATCATTTGATAAGAACGTCTAATGTATATGCCCTCACAAGTGTAACTAGCACACCATTCCTTATAGGAATAAAAATACGCATGCGAGAAGTATTTGTAATGTGCATTTTATGATGAATGACAGTTCAAGTGCTAAATTTATTAATTATGTGCGATGTCCTCCTAACTCTAAGACTAAAGGATGCCCCTATAGAAGCAAATGAAAAGGGAAAATGATATAATAAAACAAGTGAAGACCTGTAGATTTTGTGCGAGGGCGAGTGTTCAATAATCCTCTTGGGAGCGCTTCTCCCCTTATGGGCCAAATAAGGCACGAACAAATTTAGGCTTAAAATTTAATGGACTAAGGACACCTGTGATATAAATTATAAAAAAGTACATACTTGTGTATTTTGCAAGGGTTCATGCTATACTATCACTAAGTTCCCAAACAAAAAATACGGATATTAATATCGATATAAATTTGGACAAGCGAAAAAAAGTCACAGCAAAACATACTTTGTAAAATTTTGAAAAAGGCTTATATTTTTGTTAATTTCGTGACATTGCTTTTGGATTATCAACATTTAGTTTTGTCTTGTATTGATGCTTATCAAAGAAGTGTTTTGGTATCTTTTTGAGAAAGAAAAAAATTATTTTAAAGTATTGCAAGAATTGATCATCAAGTTAATATCTTTTTTTTTTGTAAAAAAAAAAAGGAAAATATATATGATTTTTGTTGAAGCTTAAAAATTATAATGATTTACAAATAAAAATCCAATGAAACTGTATTTTATTTTTTTGCCAGGTGAATTAGATAAAATAAAAATTTTAAAAGAAGGGTTGTTAAATTTTATTAATTAAACTAGAGGGAAGTAAAATTAGATTAGACATGAGATCGCAGACTACGAAAAAATTAATGCAGGAGACTTTAATTTAATAAAAGATAACTATATGAGTTTGAGTTGGGTTTAAGTTGACTCTCCTTATCTAAAATTGCAGTTTGCTGTAATAATAAGGATTATAATGGTTCAAATAGTACTACCTTTTCAAAAGGATAGAATTATAAATTTCCCTGCTAATAAAGGAACCCAGGAGAAAGAAGGTAACAAAATGTAATGGTACTTCCTAAATAATTTAATGAATATTAGTTTATTAAGAGAAAATAACATTTTATAATAAAATATTTTTTATTTTTAGTACGATGCGTATTCGAGTTAGGTGACGTTTTATCAAAATAAAAATTAAAATTTACTGACAAATAATCAAATAATTAATGTAATTTACCCTTCAATAATGCATTTTTAAAATAGGTGATCCTAATTGCTTTAGCTCGAAAAGTAATAATTTACCTCGACCTTTTTGTAAGTTTAGGATGGAGATCCACTTGCCCACAACAATAATGGACCCCACATTAATTTGCAATGGAAGAAAAAAGGCAACAAATTTGCATCATCTGATATTTTCGCCGGCCGGGTCCAAGCCGTTCACCGAAAGAAATGGCGAGCAGCGAAGGAAGCGAAGCGGAAGAAGAAGAGAGCTTGGATCAGTTACCAGCGGCTCTACTGGCCACCATACTAACGAAGCTGGACGTAGCCTCGATCTGCTCCGTCGCTTCCACATGCAAGATCTTCAGGGCCTGCGCTTGTCACATCCTTACCTTCATCCCTAACTTTCACCTTTCCGTAAGTTCCTAACCGAAAAGGAAAAATCGTTTTCAATTCGAAACTTAACCAATTAATTCTTTTTAATTGATAAATCAAGCAGGATATTGCTCTGTCGGTTGATTTATTGAGGCCTCTGTTACCTCCCAATCCCTACCTAAGCAGCTTGAAAGTCGATTGCGGTCGTCTTGATGATTCGGCCATCAGTCTCTTGGTTCGGCCTTCATTACACGAGCTTTGCTTGCATAATTGTGCGGACTTTACTGGAAAGTTGCTTTCTGAGATTGGAGGAAAATGTGCGGATCTTAGGTAAACTTTCTATTTGAACGTCTGTCTGGTTATTGAGCTTAAGTGGTAATCCGTAATTATGTTCCATTTTACTAGTGGTTTTGTATGCGTAATTTCCCTTCAGATATCTCTACTTGGGTTCTGTTGCGGAAAAGAGAGGGCGGGCTATTCATATATCTGATTTGGAAGAGTTACTCAGTGGTTGCACACAATTAGAAGTAAGGGGTTAATTGCTAATTTAGTTATTAAAGATCAAGTTTAAGGAGCTGAAATACTAGTCTAATAGTTGCCGTGCTGTTGAAACTGCTTCAATGTTTGTTTGGTATTTTGCAAAAAGTGATTTGAAAGTGTAACAGTTCAAATATGTCCCAAATTTTTTATTGCCTTTGATCAAAATGTTCAAGATAGTGTTTTTCTCAACAATATTGTAGTGGCAATTTCTATAAGATATTTTAAGTGAAGTTTTGACATGGGATCATTTAATCTTGCGCCTGTTTACTGGAATCAGCTTCTCTATAAGAAAATAAGACTTAGGATTCTTCAATGGAAAACCAGGTATTGATAACCTTCCCTGGTGCAAATTCAAAAGGCCATTCTGTTAGTTTAACTCTGGCTATACCACCATAGGCCTGATACAAATAATGTTTTGCTAGGCCTTTGAAATTGTTCCGATGGCCTTCTTAGGTTGTCCCATTAGAAGATTTCCTCTCCCTTTTTCCTTACTCCCAAAGCTTTTAACTGGCAACATTATAGGGCAAATGTCTTATCACTGAGCTACTTGCCTCCTGGGATCGGGCATGTATGCCCACACATTTTCTGCAGCTGTGTTTGCTATAAGATGTACATTAAATATAATATCAAGTTATTAGCTCTATAAATGCAAAGTCATTTCGACAATGTTTTAACTCTTTACTCTGCGTTGATGTTTTATTTTCCTGTAATCCTATTTTCTTAGAATTGGCTACCTAAATAGCTGGTTTTGATGCATATTTTCATATTTAGTTTTTTTAAACACATATGTTTGCGGAAGCAAATCAAGCTTTATTCTCTTGGCATCTTGAATTCTTTTATATTGTTATGAAAACCATTTTTTAGTTACACGAGTGCAGTTACAATTAAATCCCAGATTTGAGTATTACTCGAGTTATTTCAAATTTACTTATTAACAAAGTTGTTAGTCCAGTTTATATGAGTCATATATGCCTATACATTGAATTTAACCTTGAAATAAATATCTGTCATTCCACACTAGTTTTTTTTTTTAATTGCATTAGATAATGGACAAACAAGTGAAGAGTGGTGCGTCATAAATTCATGCACATTTATTTATTGCAGCCATACGTAGTAGCTATTGTCCATAAAAGTTTGGTTGCATCATATGTGCTATGAATCTCACCTACCAAGTATCATTGGCTTGTAGCCCATTTTTGCCTATCTGAACTTCATTTGACTTCCAGAAGCTTGCTTCATTCTTTATATACCTGGATAAATGAAAATGATAGTGATTTGCCTGCTCGGTATCCTTATTGGCCATCTTGTATAAGTGATGGTGCCTGTCTCCATTCATTTTTTCTTCTTTCAACTATTTCGTAAACCAGATTTCACCTAGCATTAAATATTTCATCTATGGAATGCGTTTTTAGCCTTGATACTTTATCTATGTTGCACATCTTACGATTTAAGCATGAAATTCTTCTGCTATTTAGAATCATCAAATGCTTGCTTTCTAATACTCTTTCTTCTTATGGTAGGCATTGACATTGATGTTTGATGCATCATTGTTTCTGCGCCATAATTTTGCTCGAGTTTGGGCTTTGGCTTCAGAAAAACTTACTTCCCTTGAGATTGGTTATGTTTCTTCAGTAATGCTGACTGAACTGCTCAGCCCCAGTGTTGGACCCCATCAATCACCAACCAATATTAGACCATCCATTTTGCCTGGCATTCAGAAATTAAGCCTTTCTGTAGATTACATTACTGACACTATGGTTGGCACAATTTCAAGAGGGCTTATGTCTTTAACACACTTGGATCTTCGAGACACACCCCTCATAGAACCAAGAGTTACATTTGATCTCACCAACTATGGCCTTCAACAGATTAACCAGCATGGTAAACTGAAACACCTCTCATTATTTCGAAGCCAGGAGTTCATGATTACATACTTCAGACGAGTTAATGATCTCGGGATCCTCTTAATGGCTGACAAGTGCACAAACATGGAAAGTATATCTCTTGGGGGGTTTTGTCAAGTTACAGATACAGGGTTCAAAACTATCTTGCATTCTTGTTCCAGTTTATACAAGCTTAGGGTGTCTCGTGGGATCCATTTAACTGATTTGGTTTTTCATGATATGTCTGCAACATCGCTCTGTTTGACTCATGTTAGCGTGAGATGGTGTAATCTTCTAACTAATCATGCAATAAAAAATTTGGTATCAAACACTCATCTTAAAGTTCTTGACTTGAGAGATTGCAAAAACCTTGGGGATGAAGCTCTCAAAGCCATTAGTATTCTTCCTGAGTTGAAGAATTTACTTATGGATGGATCTGATATAAGTGATTCAGGATTGTCATACTTAAAAGGGAGAGTTATTAGTTCATTAGTTTCATTGTCGGTGAGGGGTTGCAAGAGACTTACAGATAAATGCATCTCTGCTCTATTTGAAGGCTCTTATAAGCTAGAATTGCAGGATTTAGATATATCAAATCTTCCTCACCTCTCTGACAATGGAGTTCTGTTGCTAGCAAAATGTCGAGTGCCAATCTCAGCACTTCGAATGCGACAATGTCCACTCATAGGTGATACTTCTGTCATGGCATTAGCCTCGATGCAGGTTGATGAGGACAGAGGGCATGGGAGTAGCTTGCACTTGTTGGATATTTACAACTGCGGCGGAATTACACAGCTTGCATTCCGTTGGTTAAGGAAACCCTACTTTCCAAAGTTGAGATGGTTGGGAGTTACAGGAAGTATAAATAGGGACATTATAGATGCATTAGCTAGGAATAGACCATTTTTACGTGTGGCAAGCCATGCTGAGGAGCTGGGGATTGACCAGTGGGATAACTCGGACAGTTTATACATGCATGACTATGATGAGCTAGACGAACTTGAACAATGGCTTCTGGAAGGAGAGGTTGAGAACGAGGATGAAGAGATGGTAGATGCTGAAATTAATCCATTGATGTTATAGTGACTTGCCACATAAGATTGTATTGTACCTGTGCCTGTATCTATGACTATTTGTATATTTTATGATGATTGTGCTCTTTGTATGTATTTGTATATATGCTGTAACTCTTTTACCATTTGGACTTCAGCTGGAGCTGAAACTTTGTTTCTTCCCCCTTTGTATGTTTTATTTTTCCTTGTTTCAGAATTTGAATGGTCCTCGTCTCTCCGTTGTGAATTCTGTTGTTGGACATTCTTGATTCTGCTCAAGTATTTGTTTAGATCATAGGTTTATTTGCATTGAGGTCCAGTAATTTGTCTATAGAAGCGGTGATCACTGTATGATTTTCTGGGAACCAGTTAATAAGATCAAACCGTTACCTGCTGTTCATCTTCACTGTAATTCCGGACTCAAAGAAAGGCTCCTATCTTCTGTAACTCCCTGAAAAAGGGCTGGAGTGGTGTACGTCTTGTAGTTATCTAGTTATTGCATCTTTGTAACTTTTTCTTTCTTTTTTTTTTTTTATTTTTGAAATGTAATTCACCAATATGATCAAAATTTAAAGTTGTCATGACTCGTTTCTGTGGCTGAATCGGCACTAGAGTCTAAGTACGTTTAAGGCCTCCGAAGCCCGTAGTAAGCCTGAAACACTAAAATTTACTATCTCAATATCAATTTCAAATATTCAGCTCATATTACTATGAAAAATAAACCTCAAGATTTTATTATATCTTATCTCAAATTTATCTTCTTTAATATTCCACAGCTCAAGCCTAATTTTCAAATACATCACATTTCTAATATGGACTCACAGAATTATTTCATCTATGTTAATACATGACTGAATGTATATAAATTCTACAACTGCGGAGTCACTAACTGTTTGATTTATTTAATTGATTTAGCCAAATTTATATCCTTATTTTCATTTTACTCTTAAAATTTTTAAAAGTTCTTAACTCGTAATTTCGATAATATGTTTTGGGCTTGAGCCTAACTCTGTAAATTTAGGCTCGAATCAAAACTAAAAGATATTTGCAACCCAAACAGTCAAAAATTCTGATTTTTAATTTAATAAAAAAATTCAAAAGTTTTAAAAATAAAAATTCGGGGTATTTCAAACGCATTACAAATAATTGCAAGTGAGATAACCTTACCCCTGTAAATCATACATATATCTTACTATCAATAATCAAATCATAGCTAATAATATATTTTTTTTTAATTCTTGATAAAATATATAAATCTTTAGAGAATCATTTATATGATGTAGATGATTAAAATAATCTTTCTAGATCTCCTCTATTTAGTACCAGACTCTAAAAAAAAAAAAAAAATCAAAATCTCACCGAAGAAGTAAAAAAAAAAAAAAAATTAAACCTAAGGACAGAATAACAATAAGAAAAAAAAATTTTAAATTTGTTAGTCGAATAAATAAATAGAAATTAGAAGGCTACTGATAATTAACAATGACAGCTCCAAACTAAATTTTTAAAATTTGAAAACTTTTGTTCTTATACACCTTATTTGACCATAAATATATCATTAGACAGAGGTTCATGTGTTGTGTGGATTGTTTTTTTATTGTACACTATAATTTGTAATTTATAAATGTATTTAGAACATTAATTTGTAATAATTGTGATACGTATTTATAATAATATTTATTTGTAATGGGTTGCTTGCTGTCACGACCCGATTCTATGGGCCGAACCGGCACTAGGGCCCAGGTAAACTTAAGGCCCCAAGGCCCGTAGTAAGCCTGAAACACTAAAATTTGCTATCTCAATATAAATTTCCAATATTCAGCCCATATTACTAAAAAAATAAACACTAAAAAAATAAACCTCAAGATTTTATTACATCTCGGCCCAAATTTATCTTCTACAAAATTCCACAGTTCGGGCCCAATTACAATACATCACGTTCCTAGTATTGGGCTCACAGAATCATTTCGTCTATGATATAACGACTAAATGTAAGTAAATTATCTACAACTGCGAGTCACTAACTATTGCTATACATAGCTTTTTTATATACATATAATAACATAGTAAAATAATTATAGAACTAGGAAAATTTCTCTATTCCCCTGCCCGGGAGGAAACATAGCCTAAACGGATTAAAAGGAGAAAAAAAAACCTTACTTCCTGAAAATCAAACAAGACATGGTGAGTTTTCTAAGGAGTAATAATTATTGCACAACATACGCAGAAGTCACACAAATATTAACATTTCAATCTAGTCATCCGACTAGTTATATGCTCACGCAGCCAGATCAACACAAAATCGGTACATACCAGCACTCACACGTAATGTCACCTTCAAGAATCAAGCAAGTGTAATTAGTCAGTGGCCACCACCCTGAAACCCCAACGAGCCGTCCTCACACATGGCCGCCCTCTCGTACATGTGCACCAGGGAGCCGACCCCATACCGGGCCAACTGGTCTAATCCTCACTGACCAGTCCTCTCATTGTTTTTCCACTCTCTCGTTTCTTTTCCATATCAACAGGAGGCAACCCGAGTGGTCTCCATCCAATCGTAGATCAATCAAAGCTGCTCACAACAGGGAGGCCACCCTGCAGGCTACAATCAAATCTAGATTATCAGGGTGCGCAACGAACAAGAAGCCATCCTGTTTAAATCCCCCATATAATCGTAATTCATCAGGTGCACAAGGGGGCGCCGAATCCTCCCCATTTATCCTTGCCGACCGTCAAAGTATCATATCGATTCAGGATCCATATCACAGACCGTCCTTCACAAAACCCATGTGGTCCACTTGCATCCCAAATTCCACACAAACAAAGCATAGCATTTTCACAACCACAATTAATCAAACATGCAAATCAAATTGCAGACATATTGATACAGATTGAACATCGTAAGTTTGCAAGGCACCAAATTAGACATCCACTCTCAAATGCAATTAAATAATTAAATAAATACCATTAACAATAACAACAACAATAAAATAAATGATAAATAAAACAATAACAATGGAAAATAATAACATACCTTAATAAATTAAAATGATAATAAAGATAATAAAATAAATAATTAGAGCACCTATTTATAATACCCGAATCTTATTTTCGAAACTTTTGAAATTTTTATTAAAATCAAAAAAATCGAGAAATTTTAATCAGTTGTGGACTGCAAGTAAAAATAGCCTCATTTCTAAGCCCAAGTTTACGAAGTTGGGCTCAAGCCCAAAAACACATTATGCGAAATTTATATCAAATAAAAAAAAAATATAATATATATATATATATAAAGATTAATTAATATTAACATTAAAGTAAATGAAGAATGTTATAGAACCTAACTAAAATAATCAAAATAAATTAAACCGGACCTAAAAATCAATTAATTGTCGAGAACCACACGAAGGATCCGAAAATCGATTTGGAAAAACTCGAAAAACCAGAACGAAATGAGACCAAATCACGTGAATCAGAACCGAACCGGTTCGAATCGAACCCGGATCGCGACCCACTTTTCTTTTCTTTTTCTTTCTTTTTCTTTTCTTTTCTTTTCTTCCTTCTCCTTCTCCAGTAGCGGGCCTCCTCCTTCTCCTCCTCCTTCCTCTCCTTCGATCTTCCTTCCTCCGGCCCCACCAAAAATATCAGCAAAATGAAATACTCTAAAAAGTATTCTACTTCCAAACGATTGAGAAGAAAATTATAGCTTATGATTTGAACTGAAATTTTGTCTATTTTGAAGGGGAAGAAGCTTAGAAGTTTTGGACAGCCTTTTTCCGACGAATTCACGCCGTTTCAAGGCCAAGCCTTGGACACCCCAAGGTGAAAGTACCAAATTGGACTGGCCTCTCTGTCTTCCGTCTTTCATTTGATGGGCCTTCCTCGTCGACTGTAAATAGCCGGGAATCGGAAAACCCAAAATGGGTATCACCGAACCTTTCCGCCCAATTTCCGGCCAACTGGTTCACACCCACCTTGATTTGAACACGATATTTAGTGATCCTCTCATCGAAACGAAATAAAATGATGTATTGTTTTGTCAATTTTGAGTGAAGGTTAAATTTTCCGCCACCGTGCAACGTGGCGGCGGCGGCGGTCCGGGCGAACGGCCGGCGAGACTCCGGCGAGGACTTCAGGGGACAGAATGCTCTCCTCTTTCGTGCGGAACACGGAAATGAAATTTTGATTTTTAAATCGGACCACTCTAAAGCTTAATCGCAATTTGAATAAATTCTGAATTAATTAATTAATGGAAACTTAATTAAGTTATTTAAGTAAATTAAAGTTAAATATTATTAAATAGATTTTATGATGAATATTAATTATAACGTATAAGGTTTGTTACAAAAAAAATTATATATATTCCTAGCTTAATAATAAATTTTAGGAATTTTATTAACAAATAAATAGTTATAGAACAATTAATTATAATGGATTATGTGAATTAAGTGGACCGAAAAATATGGATATGGCGACGGGATTAGTGAGATTATGAATTTGCCCCGATGGATTGGGCTGTGTGTGTGGATTTGATGGAAAAATTTTGAAAAAAATTTCGATAGTCCAGTTTATAGAGGAAATGCTGTCGAATTTTTAATAAAACACTTAATTGAAGAATTAAATTAGTTATTCTTAAGAAGTAAGCGACGACGAAAATTTGAGGTATTAAGAAATATTATACAATATTAGAATTATCATTATAAGTAATAATTTCTCACCGAATTAATTAGAGATTTTATCTAAGGTTATAAATTAGAATAGTTATTTATTATAAATGAGCGAGAACCCTAGATATATATATGCATATATAACAATGAATTAAATGGGACCGGTAGCCAAATAAATAAACGAATGTGAAATATAAGAGTTTTTCTGAATTAAAATTCTTATTTAGAATTTTCTTGTTTTATTTTAAAGGCTCTATAAAATACAAAATGCGAGGACAAAAGCTGGAAAAGCATGTGGCTAAAAAGGCAGTCCTTAAAGGACAATTATTAAGAACTGTGAGTAGGTTAGATAAACTAAGGCTCATCCGCCTGCATTCATGCATTCACGGCTAAAATTTATCATTGCTTATTTTGATTGAAATGCCATATTATGATGCACTATTCGTTGATATTAAAAAATTGTTTGATTACTTGTGCTATGGAATATACTGTCCTTGTTTGTGGTCGAAATGGGATGACGTGGACCACCAATGGGTTTGTGCAGACGGTCTGTGATAATGGATCCTGAATATGATAATTGATA